TTTGGAAGTTGATGTTTTCATTTCCCAAGAACCTTGGTCACAGGTGCTCCCTTCATCTTGACAGTCATTATGTCCAAAATGTAATTTGGCTCCTTTTCTTCTAACGCATCTTCCGTCTGATAAGGTAAGTGTGTGGAAGTCAAGGCCTCTCTCACGTGTTTCTTAAGTTGTGAAATGTGGAACAAATTATGAATCTTGGACTGCCCACCTAAATCCAGTTTATAAGCTACAACTCCAATACAATCAATGATTTTGTACGGTCTAAAATACTTTGGGCTCAACTTTGCATTTCTCCTGAAGGTGACTAGTATTTGTCTATATGGATGCAGTTTTACATAGCCAAGTCTCCAATGTTGTATTTTCTATCGGTTCTGTATTTGTCAGCCAACTCTTTCATCCTCTCTTGCATTCTTCTTAGTGAAACTTGATTAGCTTTAACATCCCTTCTCTTTTCCTCAAACTTCTATCCACTAATTCCACATTTGATTCTCTTGGAAGGTAACGAAGATGGATAGGGGCCGGCTGCCCGTAAACAATCTCATAAAGAGTTGTTCTAGTTGCTTTATGGGAAGAAGTATTATACCACCATTCAACGATGGGTAACCATTTGAACCATTTATGTGGTGTGTCCACACACATACATCTGAGATAAGTCTCTAAGCACCTGTGCACGCCATCTGGCTATGGGTGATAGCTAATTGAAAGCTGAATTTGTACTCCTTAGACAACCATAAATTCTTGTCAAAATTGGCTTACAAATATAGGATCCCTATCACTTGTAATAAAGTCTGGATATTCGTGCAACTTAAATACATTGTCCATAAAAGCTTGAGCTACATCGCTAGCCATATAAGGGTGAGCCAAAGCTATGAAATGAGCCGCATTACTCAACATATCTACCACCACAAATATGACTTCTTTTCTCCCTGACTTAGGTTGTCCTTCAACAAAATCCATTGTAATATGCTGCCAAACATGATCTGATACAGGTAATGGTTGCAACAGTCCTATTGTTTTGTTTTTAGTCAGGAATCCACTTATGTAATAAAGTGGATCCCCTGATATTTTGAGCAGCGGTGTAGTATCAAATCCCAAAGGTAGGAAGTATTTTCTCTTTTAAGATAAGAAATAAAACACTTTTTCCAAGATTCTATAAAAAAGAATATATCATATATTTTTCAATATGATATATAAAATTGAGATAGTTACCTTTCATAAAATTAAAATTATAATGAGGGCATTAATGCCGATGCTTGAGTTACGAAGGAACCTTCGAGCTCCTATTGGTCATGAGTTGAGAACGAGAATGAAACTCTATGAGATCGAATTTCCCGTTGTTCCTTAGTAGCTCAGTGTTAGAGCGGTCGGCTGTTAACTGACTAGTCGTAGGTTCGAATCCTACTTGGGGAGATTTAATTGATTTCGAAATCTGTAATTCGGAATGAAGGAAAGGGTATTGTTGGCATATAGAACATTGCTAGATGAATGTTCTGACATCATTCATTAACCCCTTCTAGTATACTATAGTTTTTACTCTTCCCATGGTAGCATTTACCCTTGAATGGCCCCCCTATGGCAGACGCATGTAACCACTGAAGCAATTCACTTTTAAGTTGTGGATCCTTCCTAATGACTAGCTTTCCCTTTCTTCTCAACTCTTCATTCACCCATCTATAATGCTTATGTGAGCCTTGTGCGGTTTGGACTTCCTTAATCAATTTTTGCAAACTCTCATCTTGCTACCAAGATTGATGAATTTTGTCAATCAAATCTGAGTGTAGCTGCTGCCTTATTAATTGATTACACTCCACCAGAGGCCTCCTTGAGAGGGCATCCATGATCATATTTTCTTGTCCCTTCTTGTGTTCTATCCTGAAATAAAACTCATGAGCTTGACTAACCACTTCTGTTGAAAATTTGTAGTTAATCTCTGGTTCAGGATAAATTTGAGGCTGCCATGATTTGTCTTAACCACAAAGTTTCGGTTAAGTAAATAATGTCTCCACTTTTGCACTGCAAAAACCTTGACCAATAGCTCTTTCTCATATGTAGATAGGGACTACTACTGTAAATTTAATATCCTACTGATCTAGGCTATGGAATGATGGTCCTGCATCTTCACAACTCCAATTCCCCCTCCGGATGTGTCAACTTCCACCATAAATTCTTTAGAAAAATCTAGTCATGCTAGAACAGGCATATCACTTAGTAATATTTTTAATTCTTGAAATGTTGCTTTCTCCTCATCTGTTCACCAAAAGTTGTCCTTTTTGAGCATATCATTAAGGGGCTTGGCTATTATTCCATAGCCTTTAACAAACTGCTGATAGCACCCTGCCAGTCCCAAGAATCCTCTGAGTTGCTTAATGGTCTTTGGCAAAGGCCATTGAACCATTGCTTCAATTTTACTAGGGTCAGTGGTTACTCCTTCTCTAGATATGAAATGACCCAAGTATTCCACTTTCTCCTCCGTAAAGTAACATTTAGAACGTCTAGCAAACAAGTGGTTCCTTCTTAATGTCAATAAAACCATCCTTAGATGGTGTAAATGCTGCTGCAAATTCTCACTATATATAAGAATGTCGTCGAAGAAAAGCAACAAAAATTTTCTCAGAAATTGTTGGAAGATAGGATTCATTAGACCTTGAAAAGTTGCAGGCACGTTTGTAAGCCCAAATGGCATTACCACGTACTTATAGTGGCCACCATGAGTCCTAAAAGTTGTTTTGTGCACATCCGCAGAATCCATTCGAACTTGATTATATCCAGATCTGAGATCAATCTTAGAAAATATTGTTGAGCCATATAATTCGTCCAATAAATCTTCAACCAAGGGAATTGAAAAATTTGTTCTTCACTATATTCTTGTTCAACTCCCTCTAATCTACACACATCCTCCATGTTCCATCCTTCTTATTGACCAACACCATAGGACTAGCATATAAGCTGGTGCTATTTCAAATTATACCATACTGCAAATATTCCATAATCAACTTATCCAAGACACCCTTCTGGTTTTTCGCATACCTGTAAGGCCTTATATTAACCGGATTAGTGCCTTGCGCTAGGGATATTTGATAATCATGATATGGTCGGAAAGGAGGTAACTGAGTTGGTTCCTCAAAAACATCACCAAATTCTTGTGACAATTGAGTTACGTCTTTTGCTACTGGCAATTGAGTAGCGTGGGTGGTTAGCGCTTGTAACAAAGCTCCTTCTTCTTCTCCTACATGCAACATGGAGATATACAAACCTTCATTCAGAGCCTTTCGAAATTGTTGTTTTTTAGCCATTTTCAACCCCCTTGAGAAAGAACTACGTAAGACATGTTTTCTTCCATGAATCTTGAAGCCCATGGTCAGATTATTAAAGTTCCAAGTGATATCCCCTAGAGTAACTAACCATTCAATGCCTAGAACAATATCATAACAGCCCAAGGGAATTAAAAACATATAAGTTTTAAACGTGGTTTGTTGAATAGTGAAAGAAAAATCTTTCACCACTGAGGATATTTGAATCTTGGAACCATCTGCGACTGCAACATTTAGACAATCCAATGCCTCAATTTTACAACCATATCTTTTGGCAACTTGAATATCCAAGAAATTGTGTGTACTGCCACTATCAATAAGGATGTGCAATTGTTTCTTGTGATAGTAACCGGTAACCCGCATCGTTTGAAACTAGCTATACCCATTAGCGCATTAACAGAAAGGTGACGTTCATCCACTAGCCCTGTTGTTTCCCTATCCTTCTCTTGCCCTTCCTCTTCGGGAACATCTAACACAAAAAATTGTAGTTTCTTGTGTGTTAATCCATGTTCTAGGGAATAGGGAGTATCACAGAAGTAGCATAAACCTTTCACTCTTTGTTCATTATGTAAGTTAGAGTTAAATGTTTACCTGATACCATTTTCATCATATTCCTGTCTTCATCCACTGAAACATTCTTGTCCAGGTTTGATGGTTAGGGGCCTAACATCCCTTGGTGCTGCCGACTGCTCATTGGAATTGTCGAGCTTGAAAAATTACCTGCCTCATATAATCTTGCTAGTGAAAAAACCTTATGAACCGTAGTGGGCTAGAACATATGAATCATCGTCTGCATATCTTTCTTGAGACCTCCCAAGAAACAACTTAGGGAATACTCTTCCAATAGACTCAGCCGATTAATAATGGTGTCAAACTCCTTATAATATTCCACCACCGACTTTTTTTTGCGCAACTTCATCAAATCAGCCATTGGGTTAGCACCCATGTCTCCAAATCGCTCAAGAACCAGCTATTGGCATTCCTTCCAAGACCAAGTGGTGCAATTGGTTGTTGTTCTGGAAATTGCAAAAAGCCACTGCAGTGCACGTCCCTCCATATGGACAACCGCTAGCTTGACTTTAGTCTCATTAGGGGTGTTATCAATGAGGGAAAAACTGTGACATTGATAAAGCCATTGATGAACATTATCACCATTAAAACGGGGAAAGTCAATTCTTGCTAGATGTGAGCCGCAAGAATACGTACATTGATCCATTCTTGCCATTGACCCTGTAGCATCTGCATTTCTTTTGAGTAATTCTTGCAAGGTTTCTTGCATAGCAGCACCTAAAGTATTTTGTATAGATCCTGCCAACTCTGCCAAACATTCCTCCAATCGTGATGCTAGTTTTTCTTCCAAATCCTTCCTTGTTGTAGCACTTTTTGTGGAATCTGCCATGAAGAAGGTGGTGGACAAGGACCTTCCTGGTTGATACCAATTGATGTGCAAAAAGTAATTCTAGGAATTGGGTGACTCAAAGAATTACAGAAACAGGGAACCCAAAGAATTGAAGGTTCCGAGAATGTTATGGAGAAAAGATTTACAAGAGAGAGAATACAATTGAATGAATAGAAAAATTATTAGATCAAGTTTGACGGGACCCTTTTTTATAGCTAACTAACCAACTGTCAGCATTAACATCTTAACAGCTGTTGCTGTTTTTATTCTAACACTATCTTTGTATACAGAATGCAGGGATGCGGCTTTATGGTGGAGCACAATATCATCGGGCAATGGCTGAATTTCGTTTTGTGGTTGGGGGAACCAAGTGTCCCCCAATTACTCGGGAAGAAATTGTAAATGCTTGTGGAGTAGAAGATATTCATGATGGAACAAATTACTCTAGGTCTGTGTGTTTTACTTGTTCATTCTTGTAATCCTACCAATTGATAAATAATAAATAATATTTTTATTTTGACTAACTAGGACTGCTTGTGTAATTGCTGTTGCAAAGGCTCGTGACACATTTGAACCTTTTCTTCATCAGGTGATTAATTCCATAAAGAATGAATTTATTCCTTTCAATTTCTTTCTTTAATCATTTAGCTAAATTGCTATTATAGTTCACTTATAATTTCTGATCTGGTATTTTAGTTGATGGATGATAGATTAACCAGCTTGGTCAAGGTTTTTTAAATTTGTAGTAATTTAGGTTTGATTTGATTTCCATGATACTATCATAGTTTTATGATCAAAGCTGTATACATAATGATCATTGTTTTTCTCTTTGAATTATCAGAAAACAATATTAACATTTCCTCATATTCCAAGCCTAACTAATTGATTAATTTCTATTCTTGACACAGTTGGGCTCCAGACTGTTGTATATACTTAAGAGATTGCTTCCTATCTCTGTTTATCTTCTTCAGGTATTCTCTTTGGATTTTTCTTTAAGATATAAAAATTTGAATCTTAACCTAACAGCTTCGGGTTTTAGGACTCCTCTTGACATAGTATCAAGTGCCTCCATGTACAAGTTACCTAAAGTTTGATCTTTTCTAGCTCTAATTATTCAAAATAAAAGTGAATTTTGGCACAAGGTAGTGGTGGATCTGTGCATTATCAGTGCTTCAATTCTGATGGACTCTTGCACAGCCTGAATATGGTATCAAACTATTTGGGTCTTCTTCAACTAACAGCCTATGCTTTTTAGATAGTTGGTTCTCGAGGATTTTTATGAATCAATTGTTTATGCTTTTGCAAATATCCCAACAGTTTTGTACAATTATTCGTTTATTATTTTTCTAAACTTATTTAATTTATGTACTTTGTTTGACAGAAAGATAATGAATATCTAAGTGGTCATGAAGTGTTTCTCAGGCGTGTTGGCTCTTCCTTCAACAACTTTGCAGAATCTACTGAAAAATCGTGCCGTGAAAAGTTAACCACGACTTGTACCCATATGAACATGAGTTTGTTTCCATATGTTAAGTGAAAAATTGAGTTTACTAAAAAGGGATAAAAATGAATAATCTTGTACTTAATTTTAGTAAGAGGAATAAGATGCACAGTTCAGCTTTTAAACAGAACATGAAGCATAATATGGCATTCTTGCATCACATCATGTTTTGTGTTTTGCATCATACTTTTCATGCTTGTTCTTTTTAGATGTTAGGGTGCATTTTGTCCCCTTGATCGTAAAAATGTTTTACCTTCGTGTTCTCATCCATAATATATCCTTTTTCATTAATATTAGTATTCCAGGTTGTTTATTTGCTATTTTCTAAATTCCATTTTGCTATTCTTTCCTACAGATGTATGGAGGACTTGGTAAGCACCACCCGATATGTTTCATGGTCTCTCCACAATAAGGTATACGTGATTTAAGGGCATTTACAGAGACAGATGCTTTGGCATGCTGCATTTAAAATGATCTCCCTTCCTACTTTGAATTTAAGCTTGGATTGTATGATTATATCCACCTGAGAGAAAATGTGTAAAAGTTTGCAAAGCAAGTTTTCATGCCCCCTTTTGTATCTCATTCTAGTGTCACTGTCAAATTTGTAGAGTCGGGCTGGGTTACGTCAGTTCTTAGATTCATTTGGTGGAACCGAACAGTCCAATTCTTCTAATAATCCTACAGCAACCTTTATATCACAAACAAGTGCACATGACAGAGAAGACACAAAGGCACAACCGGATGTAAAACTCAGTCATGTGGCTTCTGGCATTGATTCTAGTTCATCCACTCAGACAACAGAAACAAAGCTTGCCGACCTTCTGGATAGTACACTCTGGAATAGGAGACTTGCACCTTCATCCGAAAGAATTGTTTATGGCTTGGTACAGCAGATATTTCATGGAATTAGAGAATATTTCTTGGTTTCCACAGAATTAAAGGTCTGTGATTTTTTATGTTTTTGTTAATTTATGCTTCTTTGTGTTTTGGTCTGTGAATTTCCTCCTTTCCTGCTTGAAGTGAAAGCTTCCCAGGGTAAGATTAGAAACGAAAGGTTGATTGTTTGGTTTTAATATGCATACAAAACCTACAATAGTTGCTAAAAATTTCTTCTGAAATTAAGTTTTGGCAAAGTGATCCCCTCTGCTTTTACAACATGACAACATTAGAGAAAAGTGCAGCTCTTCAAAACTACAGACATCATAAATTGATCACAGTGGATTGAGTTTGAAATAATTGAGGTTACAAAACTTGATTTTTGTTAGTGAGTTTAGAATAATCCGACAATCAGTTTTGTTTGAAGTATAAAGGAAAGCTACCAGTTAAGTAAAAATAAGGGTATGTTTTGTGGATTCTACAACCAAAATCGATTCTTGACAACAGAAAAGTCAATATTTTTACTTTTGTCAAAATCAGTTATACTCATTACAAGATTTTGAAATTTTCAAAAATTATTCAAACATATAGAAACACTGTTCAAATGGAGTTTTATTCGTGCAACTGGTAGTCTGAAGGTATCTAAGCAAGCAAACTTGGTGAAATTGAAAAAAATATTTGATGATTCCCCAATATTTCTATTTGATTCTTCCAATAATTCCAACAGAGAAAAAAAATTATAAGTTGCATCAAAATCGTCAGGTATTGTAAGATTCATTTTTATATTTCTCATTTAACACTGACATATTGTAATTTCTCAAAGGATGATATCAATATATTAAAAAAATTCATGTACACGTGCAAAACAGATTGCAGCAAAGGTTGCAACTTAGTTATACACCATATTTACGTGTATTTTCTTTTCATTCTTTAAATATTTATGGTTTTTGCTGGTTTTTGCTCAGACAATATGCGAAGACTTTGGGGCTGTAGATTATTATAATAAGAACCATTCATAATTAAGAATTCTGGCATAATTTTTCCCCCCGTCTTTTATGCACTGCTTATACCTAGTATTTTGCAGTTTAACTGTTTCCTTTTGATGCCCATTGTGGACAAGTTGCCTGCACTTCTCCGGGAAGACCTGGAATCTGCTTTTGAAGATGACCTGGATAATGTTTTTGACATAACCAATCTGCAGCATTCATTCGGGCAGCAAAAGAGAGATACAGAAATTGAACTGAAAAGGGTATTTCTTATTTCATATAACATAGTTTTCTCATGAACAATATCCAGACGGGCCAACTTTCTCTTTGTTGTCCATACTGTTAAACACTTCGATCGTTTTGCAGATCAAGAGGCTCAAAGAGAAATTCAGGATGATACATGAGCAGCTAATTCAAAATCAAGTCATGTGAATGTCAGCTGCTGAGCATAATTTTCAAATGAAACAGGCATGTGATTTAAAGATTTACTATCTTTCATTTTTCTTATATTCGTGCGCACCTAATGCATATAAAAAGAATGAATAGATGTTCATTATGATGACTTTTGTTGCAGTTAACTGAAAACCTCTTTTCCTCAAGTAGTCTCGAGTCAGTTGCTGTGCTTCTAGAATACACTGTTTGGACATTCTTTTCTTATTCTTGTGTGTTACACATACAAATTTTTGGTTGTCAAGTGTTTCAAGAATAATTTTAGTAATATGTGGACAAGTTAACAGAAGCGAATTGCAGTGGATCAGCATATATTCAGGTTGAATCAGTAATCACGTGATGCTGTTAATTCTGGCCCTAAACTAGGTTGTGAAATACTTGGACTGACCATATGTCCGTTTCTCACCTCAAAAAGGAATAAAGTGTGGTACATAGAGGAGTGCTTCTCTATATTTATTAAAAAGCATCATGGACAATAGAAACATTGTTTTAATATTCTGTTATAATAGCTATGAAGTCATCCCAGTTTCAGCAGGTGAGACCACCTCATCAAAGCATGTAAGACTATAATATTTTGACGAAGACAGCATAGAACTTGAAGGGCTCAATAGAAAGTTGTACGGATGTTTAGGTATTGGACCTTCACTGTGAATCTCAGGAGGAAGTGGTGAAAGGATGGTTTCTCCCAGAAGGAACTGGACAGATCCTTCTCATATTAGGTCTGTAATCAGGATTGGGATGAGAGAAAAGCAATTCAAGGCTTATCTAAACTGGGGTCAATAGCTCTGTTGGGCTGCCCTTGGTGATGTAGTTCTCTGATCCAGTGTAGTTCCGCAGGATTCTTTTGGGGCTCTATTGGCCTCCTTCTACTTCCAAAACGAGTACGCCATACCCATATACATCTGTGCTCGTTCTTGCTTTCCCAGTCTTTGTGAGCTCAGGAGCCATTTACCCTAGTGTTTCACAACGCTTATTATCTGTGGATGGATTCCATGCTCGTAAGTCCTTGCAAGACCAAAATTACCAAGCTTTGGTTGGAGATTTGCATCTATCAGAACATTGTTTGCCTTTACATCTCTGTCAACAACCTGCAGCTCGCATTCTTCTTGGAGATACAGCGGCCCTTGGGCAATTCCAGTAATAATCTTATAATCCCAAGTTAGTAATTTCTTCTTTTGATGATCATTTTCGAACAGAAGCTTGTCAATGCTTCCATTAGGTAGATAGTTGTAAACAATGAGGAGTTCATCCTGCTTCCTATGCTGTAGTTGCAGCAAATTTCTATGTTGTAGTTGTGCCATGCCTGTCATTTCTGCTACAAATTCTCTGATTCCCTGCCTTTAATCAGGAGCAACTTGCTTTGAAGTTACTTCTAGTCCTGTACTAGGTCTTACTGCTTTGTAGACTTACCGTTGGAAGCCGAAATACATGTAGTCATTAAACACCAAAAGTAGGTATATGGGAAATGATATCAAAGGAAAATATGGCTTTGACATGCAAAAAGGATAGATTGTGTTAAAACCATGATACTCATTGTGTATTTTAGGATGTTTTATATTTTTTCGTTGCCGTTATTTTTTTATTTTTTTTTTATACAGTTGTATCTTACTAATTAATACTAGGACTACGTAGTTAGAAAGAATCCCATAATCACAGGGACTTGTCTCCTTAGAATTAGGTGTCAATATTTCCTAAAATAACCAGGCTCATGTGTTATAGGTCCGATGACCTCATAATTGATACAATAAAGTAAAACATTATTCCTTCTAATTTCAAGATAATATCAGGCTCTTCATCTTTGGAAGCCTGTGTTTGTAAATCCTAAGACGTAACCTTCATTGTTGTGCAACCTTGAGCATAGCACACACAACCTTCATTCTTTCACAATCCATTCTACCTTGATTGCACCCACTTGCGATGGTTGAGATCGTGAATAATGTTATGGAAACCGGGGACAGATCCAAACTGAAAACAAAGTTCATTATGCTTATCGATTAAATGAAAAGAATTATCTCAAATGGTCTTAACTCATTAGAACCATCTTGAAAGGAAAAGGAAAGGTTGGCCACCTGACTAACCCTTGATGAAAATGATGCCACGGGATGAAAAAGACTCCATGATCGTGGCATGGTTGTGGAATTCAATGGTATCAGAAATCATCAATACTTGCATGGTTCTTAAATCAACAAAGGAAATTTGGGAGGTAGTAGAAAAAACGTATCTGAAGGTCAAAGATGTAAAGGTGAAAATTATGGCAGCAAAATAGGGAAACAAATTAGTTACAAAATATGCCAATCAACTCAAGTCCCTATGGATGAAGTTGTTAGTTAATAACATGACCAAAGTTGAAGTTAATAACGTCAAGAGAAAGGAAGGAAAGATAACACATGTTGATAGGTAGTTTACGAATATACTCTAAAATTGGGTGTTTCATGTATTTCCTCACCAATTCTTTATTTTCATGCTTTACTTTCTCAGGTTCATCGTTTGCTTTTAAATTCATTGCATCTCTACTTACTTTTCTTAATTTACAATTTATTGTTCTATTAATTCCTTTGTTTCACCTTTAACTTCTATAACTGGATATTTTGTACTTAAATTGAAAACTTAATAAAAAACTATTTGAAAATACAATGGTGAAATCATTTATATTTTTATATTCGATTATGTGAATTGTGAAAGTAATAGTTTTAATCATGTTTATATAACAATAACTGGTAATCCAGAAATTTACTCTCTTGTCAAACTTGTATGTGATTTTATAAATAAGATGATCTGCAAAGAATAAACTAATTCTATTCATAGTATTTTTATCAAGTTATTTTTGCCAATAAATCATATATTTTAATGTTATATTAATAGATATTATTTTATAATTGAGGAGAAATTAGATATGTTATTTTAAGAGTTATAAATATATTAATATACATTTAATATGGTTCGTGTAAGAGAATCTTCCAATTTATGGGATCTGACAGGAGGCAACATGAATATAGCATAGGAAGACCTTCTGAAAAAACCAAACGTCGCTTATACATTGATTAACATTTATGCATTATTTTCATAAATTAACATTTAACTCGCTATCGAAGAGAAAACTTTGTTTTGGTACAGTAATTGAAGAAATAGCTTGATCAAACTCTATTAAATAATTTTTTTTAAAAATGTACAAAATAATCATAAATCACTTATACAAATTTAATCAATTCCGTTTAAATACTTGTTTAACAAAGTAATGTTAAGAAAGTAAAGTCTAAACGAGGAGTGTATTATGCAAATCGCTGGATACTTAAGAACTCTGAGAGGAACCATACACATGGAACAAAGTAGAGAACAGAATACTCAATGAATTATTTATATTTCTGTTTGCATAGAATACATATATTGGATTAGATGTGAATTAAGTGTGATGTGTTCTTTTATACCAAACCAGGCACCAATAATGGAAGTGATAATGTTCTTGGAAAGAGAGACTCGGCCTTGTAGAAGCTGAGAAACCCAAGACTCCAATGTCTTCCTTTTCTTTTTCATTTAAATATAATTTTATTCAATATAAAATGAGTGAAATTTTTTCTCTATTAGCCATTGTTTAGTTGTCTAGAAAGTATCAAGAAGAAAGAAATGAAAAGAAAAATTGGAAGAAGTAAGTGTGGTCCAAATTTAGATGAGATTTTCTTTTTTTTCTTACTTTAATTCTTCTATAATTGGAATACTGTTCTTATCTCTAATACAATGTAACTTCTATTGTCTGAGATATAACATTCATTAATGTTACAATCCTAGTGTGTATTTTTTTTTTAAATCTTTAAAATAAATTTATTTATCTTAAAATAAATGTTTGACTAAAATAATGATTTCAAAAGTTAGAGGGATGAAAATGAATAAAAAGTATTTAATATAACAATGATTTCAAAAATTTAGAGAACTAAAAAATCAAATTATAAGAATTAAAATAAAAACTAGGTCATTATACAACTATTAAACATATTTAAGCCATTTTAAAAAAATGGGAAAAATAAACATTTTGTATTTCTCTTTATTTCAAAAAATACGAAATAAAAGAAATAAGGTGGAACTTAAATAGAAAAATAAAACACAGAATTATTTTGATACTAGACTTCATACACATTTAGTGTTTTTTTTTCTGCAATTATAAAACAATGTCGCTTATAATGTTAATCAAGAGACAAAATAGTCTAAAAATCGTAGAGAGGAAAAAACGAGTATCACCTTATAATTGTGATAGATTATGTATATAATAATAATAATAATAATAATAATAATAATAATAATAATAATAATAATAATAATAATAATAATATTATATACTCATCATCTCTTGTAAATCAAGTAACCTCTCATAATCTAAAGGTAGTAATGTTATCACAGTGGATTAATTGTATTTTGAAGAATAAAAGAAACAAAAAAATCAAGTGTTTTTTTTTTTTTTGACACATCTAGATAAGTGTTGGTGACATTACAACAGTACTTTCTTATGTTGGCAATTACAATATTGAACCTCCATAAAAATTGGATCAAACTAGTAAAAAATTGTTACAACTCTTCTTCAATTATTACCATGGGGTGCCATGCATACAAATGGGTTGGTCAAGTTGATATTCAAATAAATGTTGACCCAAAAAAAAAAAAAAAGTTTTGGTATTAACAATGAAATGTTTATCCGTTACATTTTGTAGCTAGTTTAAGCAACTAACTCAATAGCAATTGGATATTTGTAGTAACAACTTGTTAAGAAGGGGTTTAATGAAGGGAAATTCGCACTAATGAACACTGTAGATAGAGAGATATGCAAGCTTATTAGGTTACTTGAGACAAATTACTGGTTCTAGTTGAAATGATGAAGTTGATATTTGCATGATTGCAGAAGAATAATGATTGAAATGATCTTATATGTTTCAATTTACAACTAATGTCAAAGGCATAATTATAATTATGAAGTTGAAATTAGATAGCCTTTTGAATTTGTTGAATGTGAAAGAGTAATAGCTGGCAACAATGTACAACTTTTTGGATACCATCCCATGGAAACAAGAGTTATTAAATTTGACATTTAGGCCCCACTTGCAAACTTTCAACATTTCTAGAGACATTGAAAATAATACCCCCATATTATACAAATCCCATTGCTTCCAATTTCTCAATCCCCATCAAACCTACCATGCATATATGCTTATAAGGTCAACAAATATCTTTATCATCTTTCAAGACACACAAACAATATCAACTAGGGTGAAATTAAGATTAACCACTATTCACTACAATTATTAGTTAATGGATTAATGAAGTATAATTTATTTTTATTTAAATTGTTAGATTTTTTCCCCTAATTCAGTTAATTCTTTAATTATTATTTTTAAAGTTAAATATAACATTTAGTTTTTTTTTCTTTCATAGGTTATAAAAACGGATAATTCAACTCCATCTAACCTTATTATATGAACCAAATAAAAAAAAATAATTTAACCTATGTTACGTCAGTAGGCCAACTTTATATTGGTTATAATTTTTTTTAAAAATATTATCATTTTTATACTAAAATAATTAATTAAAAAATAAAAAAAAATTATTTTTAAAATTTAAATTATATTAATGAAATCATTTTTTATTTAATATATAAATTACAACAGAACGAATCTATCCATTTTTAAAATAAAAATTATAAGTTTACTTTTCTTTTATCATTCAATTTTTAGTAATTTATTAATCTAAAATAATAATTATTATTAATTTTAATTATTAGATCAAATAGTGATTAAAGATTTATTATAATATTTATTTTTTAAAACAAAGGAATATTTTATCAAATTAATTTATAATATATATATATATATATTTAATAAAATAAAATTACTTTTGTTTAAAAAATTATTATTATTTTATAAAATTGACTTACACACTAATTTAATTTAATTATCATCTAAAAGGGTTAAATTAAAATAAATTTAATTCAACTTATGAAATTTTTGTTTTAACTTAACTTATTTATTGAGAATTTTTAGTAATTATCTCCTGTTTCAGTCAAATGACATAATGATGTATCAAGCTTGATCAAACAACCAAAATTTTAAGTTATTCCAATTAAATAATTTTTCAAATTGTTCAAATAATGATGTATCACGTTTGATCAAACAACCAAAATTTAAGTTATTCCAATTAAATAAATTTTCAAATTGTTCAAGATTATCCTATGACTTGTATGGTACCATTTGTTCCTTAGTTGAACGTGCTTCATTAATAGGATTGTGATTTAACTTTGATAGTTATGGACTATTACTAAGATAGATTCCTA